TAAAATGATTTGCAGTTTTGTATTACAATTTTGATATGTTCATGAAATGCCATCATACTATATGACTATAATATCATTGATTTAGCATATGATAGTTTCTATTTTAGGCTTAGGTTTTGACAGCTTTTAACATAAAGTATTTACTCGTAGCATCACATTAGTTTACATTGTCTTGTATCTTCAAATATCTTGTATGTAGATATTTTGGATCTTTTTAAAGAATATGAAACATAGTTTCATATTTGGTTTCATATCATTCTCAATTAGACTCTTCAATATTTTTTTTCTATTAGATTAGTTAATGATAAATACAAAGGATTACATGGTATAGGATAAATGACGAAACAATAATCAAGAGAGAGTACGAGAAGTGTATTATGCAGTGTAAGGGAAAGGGTCGATGGGGTTGCGGTGCGTAGTATCTCGGGGAGGAATTTTGAAATTAACTGTGAGATCGAGCAGTGTACCATGTGAAGACAGATATGCGAGGAGGCCGTCCATCCGACAGCCAGGCCGCGGTGCGGGTGCGGCTAACGGTCTCCAGAGCCGCGTGTCATCCATTGTGTGAAGGGTGCAGGACGGTGGCCTTCGGCTGCTGTTTAGGGCCTGCGGCCGCAGGCTTTGGGCGGCGCAGGTCCTGCAACCTCCGGCCTGACTCTCACTTAGGTTTACCTCTGATGGCTTTGCGGTAGTGCATCATGGTTCTAGAAGACTAGAATTCATACTCACACTCATGTCTCAAACACCTTCTCTCACAAACTCTCCATGTATCATTCCAACTCACACACAACTCACCTCACATCATTCTCGTCACATAAACGCAAACATACGTCGATATTCCAAGATACTCAAAAACTTCACTCCTTCATTCCTGAAACAAGTCCTCACACATGACTCTCCAAACTTGCTTGAGAGGTGCTACTCTACCTCTCTATTTATATTATTTGAGAAGTTACCATAGTAACATGTGGTAATTTCTTCTAACTTACTTTTACCTAAGTAAGTTTGATTAACCCTCTCTATGTGGCAACATGTCATTGGCCTAGCTAAACCTTTTAGACGTTTCCGGAATCCAAGGTTGAGGTGGCGACATGCCATTGGAAGCTTTTAAACTTCTACAAGCTTCTAAGCCAGTAAGTCAACACTAGACTTAGTCTAGCCAATCATCTTTCATACATTTTAGTCTAACCAATCAAATCCAAGCTTTTAGTCAAATATCTAATCCCTTGGAATCTAGAACTTTTATATAAGACAAAATAGAAGTGCTCACCCCTTGTAAAAGACAAAATAGAAGTGCTCACTCCATTCTTCTAGAACTCCGCTAATCATTCCGCCAACTATAGACATTGTAGCTAAACTTAGTTATGACTAGATTAACTTAGTTATAACTAACTAGTTTAGTCATAACTAGCTAGACTTAGCTATCCCTTGGCTAATCATCCTTAATCACTTGACCACTTCTTAAACTTAGTACATATGTGCAACATCCGGTCTTACAGTCTGACGTGGGGCGGGGTGCCGGTTCGTGCGGTTCCGGACGATGCTGCGAATGGGTGCCATTGTGTGTGGACGCATGGGAAGAGTGTGGGAGAGAGTGATTTTTGCAAGGGAGTGATGAGAATTAGGAGGAGGAGGGACCAAATTCCCGAGGGTGGAAAGTCGAATTTGATAGTGAACTCTGATCAGGGACTGAGATCTGAGAGTCAAATCTCTGAGTGGGGACTGAATTTAAGTCAAATTTGAGAATCAATTCTGAGAGTGAAATCCAAGCGGGGTCTGAGATCTGAGACTCAAATCTGAGAGTGGTAGCTGAGATCTGAGAGTCAAATCTGTGAGTGGGAGTTAAATTGAAGTGAAATCTGAGAGTGAAATCTAAGCGGGGTTTGTGATCTAAGAGTTGGTGATTAAGAGGGGTGTCTCTCGAAAGCGAGGGAGAGAAAGAGAGGGAGAGTTTACATAGTGGCGAATCAGAGAAAGAAGTGATGTAGAGACAGGTCAGGACGAAAGAACGGAAAGGAAGGGGAAGTACCTTTGTATGCTACTACAACTGCGGTTGATAATAAGATTTCAAGCGTTTAGATTGTGCTACATCGAGAGTTTTGCATATGTTTGAGATATGTACCTAGTTCTGAACTGCCATGCACTTCTTGCATGATGTCACACTTCTCATTTACTTATTATGGATAATCGAGTCCATTTCAGTGAGTGACAAGATTGGACCCTTTGTCTATGACGGTATTCCATTGTGTGTGAAATACATTCAAATGATCATATCTTTTGAGTTGTGAATTTTGTTGTTAATCGTTCTCTCTTGCATGGTGTATAAGTCTAAAATATTAAGTGCAGATATTTCGTGTTTAGTGATCTGTTCAAGCTTGAATCTTGATTGAGTAAGAGTGTCTGGAAGAAATTGAGTGACAGAAGTTCACTTGAACTACTCAGTGAGACTAGTAACAATGATGTTATGTGAACCGAGACCTCCACCTAGACTACAAACGCTGAAGGGTGGGGCATTTCGGCTTACATGTGACCAAACTGCAATTTTCCTTATTTAATGCCACTCGGTGGTTTTATAGAGATTAATGTGTGGATGCATTACAAGAGAATTTAGCAAAGTTGATTTTGTTCTTGAAGAGAAAGTCAGGCAAGAAGGGTTGGAAGAAAGTTGCAAATTTACATAAGTACTTCAATGATGTCACGTTCATTTGCCTATTGCACAATGTTGTTGATGTATTAAAGCCCTTAAAGGAATTTAGGAAGTATTTTGAGCAGTACAACAACCTGCGCCACAAAATTCTTGGCCGGCTTGAGATGTGTTTGTCCGCTCTCAAGTATGTTTGTGGCTCTGAGGATCGGTTCGGTGGTGATAAAATTGAAACAATTTTTAAAATCCGTTCAAGAGAACGGGGCAACAAAGGATCTAATTTGACAAATCAATGAGAGCTGGAGGATTCCTTTGATAGGTCACTCTGGTTTCAATGTGGAACACATTCATGTATTTATCAAGATGCTGGTGGGAATAATTGAATCAAACCTTTTGAACGCTTTCTCGAGGGAGATGTACTTAGTGCTTTCAAAATCTTTGATCCAACATTTTATAAAAGCCTAAAGTAGTCAGAGCTTGATAAATTTGGTGCGTTAGATTATAAAATTTTGTTGAGCCATTTTTGCAACTAAGAAAAAAAAAAGTAGTTGTTTCCAATTGACCCGTCCATATTGTCTCATGTTAACAAAGAGTTTTTGAGGATAAAGCACCTCCAGTGGTTAGCGATCAAGGACACGCATGTAGAGTTACTTCTTGTCTGGAGGAACATTCATGATGAGCATGGGTTGGGGCTAGGCTACATGCTTAAATTTGTGTATCTTTGTCTTGTCATCCTCCTCAACAGTGTCATTGCCAAGCGAGGTTTTTCTTTGCACAATAGTATCAAGATCAAGCTTATGAATAGGCTGCGTATCAAAACAATTGATGCACTCATTCGGAGCAAGACTTTCGCTAAGTCTTGAAAGAAATTTGATTATTTACCGCTAGAGGTATTGTATCATCATAAGCCTCAGAACTTCAAGTTGTCATCATTATTCCAAGCTGTGAATGTCTTGAGTATGATGGAAACACAAATGATAATCATAGCGTAGATCTTTATCAAGACGTTAAAGACAATGATCCAGATGAGCATGCTTTCTATGATGCTGACTCATCAGAAGATGATGAGGAACCTGTGCATGCAATTGTCGTCAAGAAATCTACTAGTGTTGAGTTTGGAGATGAATTCCTAGAGTTGTTGGAGATGGGTACAAGTTGAAGGTAAGTTTTAAGAGTCCTAAATCCATGTTTCATTTGTCCACAAATGTGCATGCAAGCCATGGCAAAGTCGATACTCAAAAGTACTCAACAAGGTCAGTGAAGCAGTTTGACTGTCAAATCTTGAAAAAGAATTTTGAAAATACCCCAGATTTTTTTTGCACACATCTGGGTGGCCCCGAGAAATCAAGAATGCTCAAGTCAAAACATGGGTGCTATGTCCGGACATTTTGTGGAGCCTTCCTCGGATGACCGGGTGGTTTTCAACTATGCTTGTCAAACACTTGTTTGATGGATTCTCTTGTGGACTTAGTCATTGAATGTGAATCATGTTATACGTTGTTCTCTCGTGCTGATGTCTTTGTTCGTTGAGTGTGTCTCTGAAGATTCTCGTGTTTTATGTTTACATGTATCAGGTCAAATTTATTCTTTGAAATACATAAAAAAAAAAAAATCTTCCATAAATATCAGATTGATGAATCTTGATTGAAGATTTTGACTATACATGCTTGAATTGACATCATTATTAAGTAAATGCTAAAGCATGAAAATTTACAAATTTATGAATGCAATATCATGTACGACGAATCATTTATTTATATATCTTGATTTTATATAATTCATGTTTGATATTCTAAGATGCAACACATGAATAATAATTGATTAAATTAAAAAAATTTAAATATATCATAAATTGAAATGATTGAAAAATAAATTGATAAATATCATTCATTTTTTTCATGCTGATTCTAAGATTTAAATTAAAATTTAGAAATTTTCCATGAAAATTTATTAGACTTCTTCAAATTATCTTTTAATTTTTTTACTCAAATATTATTGGAACCATCAAATATAATATTAATAAAAATTCAATTTTATAATGATGATATTGTATATCCTTGATTCTGATTTAATAGTATGTAATATTGTAGGCAAAATGTTTTACTTCTAGCTAATTGAATATTTCAAGATGTCAATAATGTCTTTCAAGACAATTGTATAAATTACAACTTTTTTATGTCACATTGGTTTGGAAAAAAATTTGCACATTGAAAATTATAATCATGAAATGTAAACTTCAAAGTGATCAGATGTTTTACAAAATGTGATTATTTTATCTGTAATTAGAATATTAAAATATTTTGTATTATTTTATATATATTTGCAAAATAATGTATACATGTTTGTAAAATAAATGTTGGCAACCATCTCAAGCATGAATTAGAGAAATCTTTTATGAACAATATATTTGCAATTCCTACATATAAAAGTTCATCGATCCCTACTGTACAAGTAAATAGTGAAACTAAGTTGAATAAAACTAGATCGGATCAGATTCAACGATTTGAAGACAATCTATGAAATCATGGATACCAACTGCTCTAGAGCTATGGGATTACATGCGCGGAACTATACCGCCATCACAGAACATACTTAACGGTCGTGTACATTCTCATGAGACTCGAAAGTCGCTCGGGAAATTTACTTCGCGTCACAGATCGGCTTATGAGACTAGATCCAGGAAATCAGGATCTTGAAGAATCAACTCAGACATCCTGGGGCTTAAACGCAGCATAATGTCAGCAACAGCTCCGGACTGGGGGTGAGGAGGCATAAGATAAGCCATATGAAATTCCGGAATCGTGTAGAAAATGCATGGGGTGACGCGCAGTGGGATGCCAAATCCGAAATCCAGAGCGTAGAAGTTTGCAAATTGGATCCATGAGGTCAGTCCAGTTTGCAGAACAGTCGGGCAGCTCTCGGGGTTCTCAGACTGCGACTTCTGCAAGCGTGCATGAGTGGTAGTTGTCCAGCGGTCCTCGGCCGAATCGGCGTTCAGGTCGAGAATAGACTCGTGGACTTTGCATGCTGCGAAGGCAAACGACTTCTGGCGAAGCTCAGCGCCCGTCTGGACCGGGGGCGACACTATCACAAACATGTTACCGACAAAATCTTCCATTAGCGGTGGATTGCACGTTCGCTCCCTTGCTTCCATCGGAAAGCTGAAATATACCTTCTCGCTGCCGGTCATGTGTTCATGGACGACCGGTAGCCTCGAGAAGCATCGCCACATCTGAGTCGAGATGCATTCAAAATTCGTGAGTCGTTCTGGCAGCTCCAGGCTCTCTGAGGCCTGGCCTTCCTTCGCCTTCCGTCGCAGCCTCTCGACGGCGTCCGGATGGATCTGGTAGCACTTACTTACGGATCGATATGGACTACTGCGGAAGCTCCGAGCAGTGTTATAAGTCCTGAACACGTTTGCCAGCACATCGTCCACGTTCTTCATGTCCGGACTCAATCCGAACATTTGCGCTTTGTCGAATAATGTGGGCAGCGAGGATCGATCGAAATTGGGCTTCATGGACGTGTGCCCGGTTGCTGCAATTTCTGACCAAGCCTTCAAAAACCGATCGATGGCAAACCCATCCGTGAACATGTGGTTATAGGCTACGACGAGGGCAACTCCCCCACACTTGAAGCCGGTCACCTGCACATCCATACGTTAAATATTACGTAAGTCATACCATGACTTAACATCCGCAACTTCGCGCAGATATCGAACAATTGAAGTGTCTACACGGATGCGAGCAGAATCCGTCCAAATTAGCAGCAATTAGCTCGCTGGTATTGTGATGTTTATGCTCCACTGACCTGAACAAGCAAATTGGGCCACTCTTTATTCAGCGGCATCTTGTGCGCATCTTCAGCACAGAATCCGGGAATAGCAAGTTCTCCGAACAGCTCATTGGGAGGGTTGAAGTCGTGGGCGAAGTCAAAATATTTATCCATCTCGTCGTCAACCGTCGCCTCCACGAACACTGCTCCTTCATCGTTGCAGAGCAGTTTCCGTATGTTCAAATCTTCTGCTACAACCCACTTCCCCGCCAGGGGATAATACAAACTCTGAAGCTTGCTCAAAGAGTCTTTCACGTTACGGATGAAGGCCGAGAACGCCGACGGAAGAGTATTGTCCAACCGGTACAGGCTAACGATGGGTATGTAAGTATCCAAGACGAACAAGTCGTAGACACTCGGATAAATGACTTCGGGATGCTCCGTGGTGAAGCTCGGTGCAACTTTGCCGACGACCACAGTTTTCAAAATCCCAACAGTGGGTCCTAGACCTGGCATGGTGGTATCCACTGCCATCTGCAGTAATTTGCTTCCTACGTGAGTTTGATTCCAGGTGCAGGGCTGCAGCCGCAGATCTGCACGTTGATGGGTTGCGCTGCATTCTGTTGCACTGCCCGAGGTTTTATCTTCGTCAATTGAAGTGAACAGAAGCGAAGATTCACCACATTCGCGGTACACGTGCCGTCTGCACCACGACGTGCCTCGACTGATCTTTCTTCGGGTCACATGCCAAGTCTCCGTTCTGTCAGTGATACCCCTCGTTATTCCTATCACTCTGATAGGTGAGTGCACCAATCGAAGGTATGGTGAAATATGTTTCATGTCGAGGTTTTTGTGACTCCATCCACATTGTGAGTCACTGTCATTATAACGATGACGAGAGTAGTGATGACATGTTATGTCATTGTACTCTTTGCACTTGATTTCCAATTTTTTATTAGGACTAAGTCAGTGTGGGAGATATTGCGCTTACACGTACCGCAATACATAAAGACTGAACCTATGGTTTTCAAATAAAATAATAATGGAAAAAATGAATCTTCTTTCTTTTTCCCTCTAGCTTGAAAATTTAAGTGTTATGCAGTTATGTAACCAAACTCCCACATGTTCATGAGATGCCACCATACCATATGATGGCATATGGTATGGTGATTAGTGATTTCATTGATTTAGCATATGGTTTTGTCTATTTTAGGACATGGTTTGTATAGCTTTACAGAGAATAATTCCCGTAGAATTACGTTAGCTAAGGTTTGCAGGCTAGATCAACCCCGACCGTATGCCTGTGGGCATACCGTCACGATGGTGACGGCTTCATGTGTCAGCGTCGTGTGGATCAAGTGCACCTTCTGTGACACACTAAACCATTGGGTTACGGTGACACACGAACGGTGTACGTATGCAATCAGACAAGAGAGCATACGGTCGAGATTGATCTAGCTAAACTTGTCAAATTTCGTGAATATGGAATGTAGCTCCATTTTTTGTTTCATCTCATTCTGGATTGAATTCTTCCATACTGTTTCCTATTAGACTAGTTAAGAATAAATACGAAGGAGTTAGTGGGCGTTGACTTCTCCATCATAATACCTCGTCAAGAATCTGCTACGATAACATGTCATTGAGATGCGATAACATGTATTTCAGACTATTTGTCAAACATGCGTTTATTATAACATGTCTTTGAGATACTTCAACATGTATTTCAGAAGCTATCTTTCTACCACGAGGACGAGATTTGTGGAAGTTACATCCAAATAATTACCCTCTTCTTGCACGGAGCTACGAGATTCAGTATGAATATTGTTACTGACACCACTTGTGTAAGTGTGAGTCAAGTCTTAGCTCCATCCTCCCCCATTGGTTTCATCCATTGATTGGGTCTTCCGGTCCTGTTTGCTATGTCCAGGGGTCAGAATGATTTGGATGTAACTTCCACAATTTCCCGTCCTCGTGGTAGAAAGATAGCTTCTAAAATACATGTTGAAGTATCTTCAACATGAGATACTCCAACATGTCTCGAAGTTGAAGTATCTCAACTTTAACTTGAGATACTTCAAGTATCTCAAGTTGTCAGTGGACGTCAATATGTCTCGAAGTTAAAGTATCTCAACTTTAGCTTGAGATACTTCAAGTATCTCAAGTTGTCAGTGGACGTGGACAGTGTTGTAAATAAGTCCACTACCCTTTTCTCATTACAATCCGATCTTACATGATCTTCAAACTTGTTTGATTGATGGCGCATGATCTCAAATTGAGCATCTTGAAAATAATCTGTATTCAAGCGATCCATCTTTTATCTTCTATTGTCAATGTTACTTATATACTGAACCTACAATATTTACGCAATCCTTACTTTGGGCTTTTTTTAACCAAATTCAAAATGGTGGAGATTTGTTTTGAGCTTTCATGATTATCTTAGGCTGAAGATAGAAAGACATGCAAGTTAGGATCTATATCGAATGCTGTTAAATGATATCATAAAATCTAAAACGTTAATTTGAGGCAAGCATCTAAATAACTTTTCCATACAGGAGTCTTTAAGAAACTACAAAGAAGCTATGAGTCAAAATATTTTTGAAGATTGGACAATCTTAACATCATTGGAGATTCTTTGATCCGTGTTTGTAAAGAACTTGTATATGTTTACATGCTTCTCAGCAACTTGTTTGCAAGTGAGGATGAGGTAATTTGAAATCTGACCCCATCATGATGTAGAAAACATGAGTTAAAATTTGTATAATTCTTTCAAAATCATCATCATATTTTATTTTATTTATGTTCACAAACCAATGCATCATCTCTTGAAAAAAAAAAATACTTTTCAAAAGTATGAGTTTTGACTGACGTAAATCAGTCAAAACCCGTATTCTGAACTCATGGTGATACTTATGAGTGTACTTTCATTCCGTACAAATGTGATTGTTTTATAGAATTAAACAAGAAAGATTCTTTGGTCAAAATGAATAAATATAATGTTATGGTATATCCAGTTAAGTTGGGTTCATATGCATCAATTTCTATTTCCAAAGAAAATATTTATCTATTAAGTTTCTGAATACAACTCCTTTGTGATGAAAAATTCATTTGATGTCCGAAAGGAGTTACGATTTATAGGATACAATTTAAAGGATACAATTATATACGTTGCAAATAAAGGTTTTCTATAGATTTAAATTATTTATTTTCTTCAAACATTTATAAGAAATATCGGTCGGTCGACACTTGCAAATTCACTTGCAGTACCTCATTTTGCAACGCGAATAGCCTATCGTTACCTCAGTCTTTTCATCATTGAATCAAGTTCAACTCTGCTAAGATCAAAACCTACAGCGCCTTGCAATAGTAGTCTTCCAGATGGGCTGTGGCAGTCATTGATGTTGTGCGGTTAACGTTTTTGGTAATTCTCAAACTTCCTCTTTTCTTTTTTAACTCTAGCAAACGCCACCACTGCTTAGTGACCTCGAATTCCGTACATCCCCATGAAACGAAAATTGGTTCAAGCATAACATATACCTCTTTGTTCTGCACCTAATCACCACATGTGATGACTTCCGAACCACCCTTTTTTGTCATGGACTGCAACCCAACAGCATGTAGTTACATGTGATTCGCGTCACCACTCCAAATAGAATAGATATGCAGGTATACATGTACAGAGATGTAGATCCAACGACTCATTCCCCAGCCTCGCTCACTTAGACTTTATTCCAGAATGAAAATCATCGCTCGTGCCGTAGATATTCACCTGTACGTTCACGTCCCAATCTATCATTATGTTTACTCTAAAAAATGTACTGATGTTTTACATATCTTTATGCACTGAGATGGCACGGCAATGAGAGGCCGGGTTCCAACCACAACCAAAACTGTCGGATAATCTTTTGGGCATTCTTCGTAATAAAAACTCGTAGTGATTCTTGCTCTGACAACCTTGGGCTTCTGAGACCAAGGTTAGAACCTCGGATTAATAACTCCCAAAAAATGAGATGTCAGACGCAGAGAGACAAACAAGGTGACACTCATCTGTAGCCTGTCATAGAACTCATCAAACGAATCGCCACTGCGTAGAATTAGCAACGGCATGTACATTGGGTGCCAGCAAAATGCTCTTGTACTGTACAGAATACCAGACGCGCGAACTGGCATAGATAAAATTGCCAGGAACACAGCAAGTCCAGTGTAGAAGAATAAACTGACTGCCCAAGAATGTACTTCTAGACTGTATTGTACTCAGAATCTTCTCTCCATTCTTTTGAAATATTGATTAGATGTATTTTACAAACGAAGGGAGGCTATTGACCATATCAACCAAACAACAGAATACTCGTTCCAGCTGCCGTTCTTGCGGCAGTCCAATAAGACCCTGCATCTGGAATGAGCCAGTTGAAAACAGCGTTAGGAAATGAAAATCTAACGACACCAAAAAGTTGATATTTTTACTACATTTCGCTTTAGCAACTGAGAGTTAGAATAGAGCGCGATTTTTGTCTGCAAAACAGATGGATCAAGAGATGTCTACATGCTACTACGGAATACTCAGCCGAGAGATTGAGTGAGGAGTCAGACCTCGATATGACCAGTATCGAAGGTCAAAGATGACCGTACGGACTCCGACGTAATTGAGCTAGCAATCATTTCAAAAGCTTCAGAACTCATGTTCGTTTCCATGATGACAGATAACCCACGGATTCGAATGCGATGTATTCCAAGGTCTGCAGCCATTCTTCGCACGTATAACATCTTCAGTAGCATCTGTACAGTAAACATTCCATTCACATCAATGCTTCGATACGGCATAACCAGAAGTGTTCACCTGGCGATAAAAGAGAACAAAGCTAAAACGCTAACGTTCACAACGAAAAGATGTAGACCTACCTCCATTGCTGCTGGTTCCTTGCCAAAATTATCTCGTAAACGATTAGTGAAGACCATCAAACTGCGTAAAGATTCTTTGGCTGCCCGTTCTGCAGCCTTCAAAACGTCCTCACGTTCTTCACTTCTTTTGATATATTCACTCGGTATGTGCACGTCCAATCCAAGTTCCAACTGGCAAATCCGAGAATGTTTAGTTCCCTATCACTACCTTCCAAGATTCATAATATTCAGGTTTGTCTAACTAAGAGTTCAAACATGAACATGACGTGCGTTGAATACAATCGTAATTCTACGCTTTGGTGATGCGAGTTGAATAAATGAAACTCCAATTCCACCCTCAACTCCGTTTTCGTCAGTGCTGTTCGTAGATAGACAGTAAAAAGAAACAGATTTTAAGTCATAATGAATATTACAAATACCTGGACATCGTCATAATCGACTTGAGGTAGCCGTTGGTTGTCCACCTGCATGGTTCCAAAAGTTGCCTCATCTGTCAGTGAAATTAAGATTCCCAGTCCAACCTGCTGTAAAGAATGCCAACTGATAATTCTTCGCAAGTTAATACAACTCGCTGACATGTGCCTGCAACTCTAACCAGCGTAACAGGTGCCCTCACCTTCGAGAGACCTTCCAGAAGCATTTCAAAGTAGAGATCAATGCCGATTTTGGCTGCATCGCCACTCTGCTGTTCTCCAAACAAGCTTCCAATTCCTCTGATAGCCATATCACGTTCCGCTAGTTGAAATCCTTGGCCGAGGTCACAGCAGTCTTCGAGAGCCACCAATCGTTCCTGAACAACAAAGCTCGCTTAGTTTTATTTTCTTCTGATTTTTCTCCAGGGCAAGAAACGGCCAATGCGAGAACAAGGATGTTATTGAAGTTCTCAAATTCCGAAACTTAACTCTACGGTGCAAACACATGTCATAACTGGAGAGCTCACCAAAGCTTCATCAGTGAGTAAGGACTTGTGCGGATGGAAGAGATACGCATGAGCTTCTCGTTGAGCTCTACCTACCCTGCCGCGAAGCTGCAAGACAAAAAAAAATTATGATAAAGTTTCTCCTACCAACTGGACCTTACTCCAAACATGGCCAACTTGGCATTTCTTCCATAACATAAAAAAGGTGATGACTAAGTGTTTAAACACCTAGAAGATTTGGGAGAACCTCAGATATGATGTGAACTGTTCTTCAATACTTTTGTGCAAATATATCGTAACTATGAACAGCTTATGATGAGCGCTAGTATATCACCTGATAAAGCTGTGCGAGCCCAAAGAGATGGACATCTTCGACAATGATAGTATTCACCATCCGGATGTCAAGGCCACTTTCTATTATGTTGGTGCAAAGAAGAATCTTCGTCTCTCCTTCACAAAAGTTCTCCATTGCTTCCTCTAGCGCAGAAGCCGATTGCTGCAAATCGGTCGATTGATCGAAATGAATAAATACAATATATAAACATAGCAAGACCGAGAACAAGTACTCAGTGCGAGCCTTGAGGGATGTGAATGAAATCAAATATGTGGCAGTAAAATGAAGGCGTAATGTGAGCTACAGGTATCACGTTATTTAGAACCAAAGCCAGAGAACCAAGGACTTGGCCGTATAAGAATGACGCTTGAAACAATACAGTCCAAAACGAGGAAAAACTGCGAGAAGAAGTCGTGTATGACGAACGGTGTTTACCGATTCAGTGAATAACTCAACTGACAGATCGCAAGAGTACAACTGACAGGTACTCAGATGATACAAGGAAGGGATATAGCACCTTCTCACTACCCAAGAAGATGTGAAGTTGTATGTATTCGAAGACTGATCAGTAGCTTTCGCAAAACTGCGGACTGACTCTTTTACTATGTACAGAACTAAAGTTCTATCTCAAAAAGTAATAAACACTGAAATGTCTTTAGTGATGAATTTACATTATAATAGAACTGAGGACGTAAGTATTATTCCTGGGTGCTCCCATCCAGACAGTCTTAGTCAGACCTTGAACGATGTAGAAATATAACTATTCTGGAGGTGACAAGCTTTGAACTGTTTGATTACTGCGGATGCTTTCGAGGTGGAGGTTATTAGAACTCAAAGTATGTATGCCTATGGATAGAGAGTGGGCGAGAACTTCTTAAGAGTAGAGAGAACTACCTTTCCGTGGGCGATAGCCACTTTGATATCCGGAAATTGTCCTTGCACGAGATCCTGCAACTCCTCGATTCCTGACAACAGATATGATGGGTAAATCAATTGACGATTAAAAGCAAGGAGAGGTATCACTCCTTTTTGAATTGGACTTAATTATCGTGTCCAACTCAATTGTCATTTAGATACTGCAAGGGTGCATTAAAAACGAGCAAGGGTCCAAACATAGGAGATGGTGTAAGAAACATCACGATGTCCAAGCTGAGAGAAACCTCATGTTACCTTTGACTCGAGGCACGACGTAAAACACCTGGCCTCCTCGATCTAGCTCGAACTGTATAGCTTTTCTTGCCGTTTCTTGATTGTATTCCAACAAGTGTGTTTGAATTGGCCGTCTCTCTGGTGGTGGTGTTGTCAAAAGACTGCATTAAGCCACAAAACCTCAATACACAAAAATATCGGATAAATGGAAGTTCAACCAATATTGCTCTCAAGCTTCCTCGCCTAGAGGTGGTAGTGGAAGTTAATACTATCTGAGCTATCTAAGTGAAGTTTATACTATCCAAAACTCCACCGGATTTTAAAAAAAACCGAAATATACGAACAGATATATGATCAAACCACTACATACATGTAATATATAATTCACAAGGCAAGGTCCCAATAGCATATGAAAGGCCAACAACCCGTCAATACAGGAGAAAGATAGCTTTATGTGTACGTAAAAACGTACACATAATGCTGGGCAAACAATGGTTGGATTGATGATGGTCACTATAAGCTTTATGAAGGCACGGAGTTAATCAATGTATTTTGTGATTCATTTTCAAATCAATTTCCGCAGACGATAGAAGTCTAGAGTCAGATAATTTTCTGCAACACCTAAAACAAGTAGTCTTATTGAGACTAGCACTCTGTCCTGATGTGTACAAATCCGGGAAAAAAGTGAGTTGATGCGATGACATGAAAGCAACTTAGGTGAAGAAAGGAGGATGTACTCGATACCTCGCATCTCTGAATCCACTCATGGCCAGGTAAAGAGTGCGTGGAATTGGAGTAGCCGAAAGTGTAAGAACGTCTACAGTGGTTTTGAGGCAGGTAATTTTTTCCTTTTGTTTCACCCCGAACCTCTACAAAAACCAGCAACGGGAAATTCATATAAGAAAAGCCCCAACACACCACTACCTCTTAGGAAAGTGAACAAAGCAAACGTAGAGCATTTGTAAAATCATAAAATCTGATACTTTTGTAAAACAGAAGCAAGAACAGAAGCAAACATCATGTTCTCATTTGCAAATGCACTTCAGTCACGACTGCACGACGGAAAGTTCTTCAGGGTGTCCGCTGTTAAAACAGGAGTCCTCCTTATCAACTTAGTTGCAATACCCTAGCAAATTTCCTTTTCAAGACCATCAAAAGGCGGATTCACACCTGCTCCTCGTCGATGACCAGAAGCCCTAGGTTGTTGTATTTAATTTGATTGCCAAGAAGGGCATGTGTACCAACAACGATACTTAGGCTTCCATCATGAATCCCGACTATTAAATCCTTCTTTTCTGTCTCTTTCTGGAAAAAGAAAAAGAACACAGAATAAAAATAAGTAAACGAGAAATCGACATTCGACATTACCTTCACATACGAAACTACAGGGTCCGTCTTAAACATTTGAGTCAGCTCTTATTTCAAAGCAAAGTTTTTCACAAGAGGGAGTTTGTGTGAAAAATCCCGTCAATAAGCACAACCACGACACCGAGCGTCATTCACAAGTCCAGGCCGGAGCTATGTCGTACCTATTCTCAACTACCTGATACCCAGCCACTACTTTAGACAGTTGTCGTTTCCACTATTAGTCCACCAACCAGCTCTTATATTTCAGACAAAAGAGCCTCCCACTACACTCTGATCCTCCTCTAGACAATATTCACGAAGATGAGAAACTCTAAAAACTTGCGAGCCATACATTAATCCAAACCCATGAAACACCCAGTCACCGACCTGAAATCTACACAGCAGGGCCACCTTGATTCCGAGAAAACCTGCAAACCGATCTCGAATAGTTTCAAAATGTTGCTTGGCTAAAACGGTTGAAGGCGTTAACACCATAACTTGCTTGCCTGCTATCACAGCAATCAATATAGCTCGTAAAGCTACTTCTGTCTTCCCGAACCCAACATCTCCACATATTAGTCTGTCCATGGGAAGGTCACGCTCTGTCATGTCTTTTTCCACATCTATAAAAGCCTGAAATCAAGCCAACAGCAGGATTAGCCAAGCTGTATTCGGTCGTTTCAAGTTCTAAGAGACTTAGGAAAATTGCTCTAAGACAAAGAAATGAAGCGTAAAATAGGTTTGCACCTGCTGCTGGTCTGGTGTGGGTACGTGAGGAAACTTTGCCGCAAATGCCGCCATTGCAGGAGAATTCACGGGATAGGGAGGTCGAGACTGCTTGAGCCTATGGATATACAACTCCATCATATTTACTACCAACTTTTGTATTGCAATTTTCCCCTTGCTTTTTCTCTTCTCCCATAAGCTCGGATCCTTCAGCTTGCTCAGAGTTGGCGCCCTTCCTGTCTCTCCTGGACTGCATACGAGAAGACAATATTCATAATCTAAAAACTTTGTGATGAGAATGGCATTTTCTTCCTAGTGGGAACATTCTTTATCTCACATACTATGTACAAGTGAGGAAAGAGGTCCCAACACTTTGAAAATCCTAGGCGAACAACAAATTTGGGAGAAGGTATGTAAAAACTTGGTTCACACATGCGTCTGAACAAGAATTAAAATTGACTGCACGTGGAATGTTCACATCTCAAAGATGCAGAAAATGGTTTGACAGGTCAACGGATTTTCTAGTTAATGGAAGGCGTCTCTTGACTCAGTAAACTAGATCCACTGCCCAAGGCTGCTCTCCTTATTATGCCTGCATGACATCTGTCTCAGAGTAGAGATGGTCACAAAATGGAATATTCAAATGCTGGTCTTGTACGCCCACAGACATGTTTCCTATTTCCCGTTACTAGCGTCCAAACAAGAACATAAAGTTTGCATACTTGAGTTTTATATTTCTTTAAGTTGATGTGTGGCCTCGCCCCAATTTTTGATCTGTGTACCAGGGACGTACGGACAAATGGCTAGAATTATTTGAGCCTCCTTTAACCTCTTTTCAACTTTCCCCATCCAAACTCGGTTGACTGTCTTCAGTTATGCAAAACTTACATCAGTTTGCTCCCACAAGAAAGGATTATTCCGATATTTTTAGGAAACTGTAAAAAAAGATAACCTAAGAATTAGCTACGCAACCGAAGCTAAGTTTGAAGTAACTATACAATCAGCAACTTTGACAGCGTTGACCTTGAAAGAACTGAAGAACCTGACTTACAGATGATATCGGTAAAGAAGACGTTGCGCTTGTTTTGCTTTTAATTTCGCAATTCCATCCGCGTACTTGAGATAGATGTACTTCGCTGGCCTCTCTTTACCTGGTGGAACCTCAAACTTCAATCCAATAAACTTCCCAACGCCGACTCTCTTGTGTACTACATACTCCCCAAGTATCAGGGTATCAGGGTCAACAGAACAGGAGAATTCGTCGTCATCACCACGAGACTGTCTGCCTTGTGAGATTTTTTGTTGTATGGCCTGCATGCCTTTACGTTTCTGCGCAATCAGCCGATCCTTTAACCTATTCGCTTCTTCAGCTCCCAACGGCTTCTGAAGGATGGCCTTGCTGCCACTTCCCTTTGATTGATCCTCCAACTGCTGATGAAGGCGATCAAGTGACTCAGTTCCTGTAACTGCTGAGCCAGATTCTTTCCTTGAATTACGTCGGACAGTTGACGGATTGGAAGCTATGTGTTCCGAAGCCGATGAAAGATCTGTTCTTTCAGCTGCGATATTTTTGCTATCAAGGGAATCAGCCGAGGTCCCTGGCCATACCAAATCCGGAGATGAAATGCCAGTAGCTGGAAGACCTGGAGACGAGGAAACAGTAATGCCCACAACTGACGAATCACTAGTTGCTGAAAAATATCCCGAATTAGGTAACCGTCCATTATTGTCTGCAACAACTAATTGCTCGGTGCCCCTAGATGACTTCGATTCTGGAGTTTCTGAGGGAAAAGGTGTTCTCCTATACCTATTTAACATACTTGGGGGGTTTTGAGAGTTTTTCGAGGAAGACACTGACCTCTGACTATTTCTAGAATTTGTTGCAGAACCCTTATTAGAAGGAGTTTCCTTCGCACTAGGCAATACACTAGTAAAACTTGTGGCTGCTTGCTTCTTGTTCTTAGCCGCTTGTAGGATCTGCGCCTTGTAAGATGCACTATTAGTTTTGAAGTAGGGGGCTCTAGGAGACGGAGCATTTTCTGATGACTTCCTATGATAAGAATTCGTTCCTTCCAGAACACTTTCAGATGATCTAGATGACTGTTTTGAGGACCTAGGGAGATTGCCTTCGGATTTCGAAGCTTTCGGTGACACCCGACTAAATTCTTGCCCTTCAATGAGCTCGGAATTGTGAAGATGACTGCCGCTCTCCATGCTACTCCTATTACTTCCCTTAAGTGGCGCCTCGCTGCGAGTAGATCTAGCTGCAGAGGGCAATTTTCCAGAACCCTGAGAGCTTTCTATATCAGGTTTCTTTCCTGAATTTCTAGACGATAATAATGATGGTTGTGAAGGTTTTGAAAAGCCATCTGTAGAAGTCTCGAATTGCTGATTGGAGGATCGAAGCATAGTCCGAGAGATAAGACTCGGCTTCCTATACTGGTTCAAAAATTGTAGTGAGGCTGGTGACCCTCCTACAAGATCCGCTAGTGTCTCAGAGTACCATGACATACTCCTGACTGAACCTCCACAATTTCTGTTGAATCTCGTTCCCTCAATCCTCGTCGCTGCACGAGCAGCACAGACAAAATTCATCTTGTTTCTCCACCGATGCCCGGACGAGTGTAAAAAAATCGAAGACGAAGAAAATAAGGTGTCGCCTACGTAAACCATTGTCCCCTCAGAAAAATCTAACGGTGATATGGAAGCGTGCAAGAGCCTGCCCTCCCTCCAAAGACCGTATCTACTTGAAAGAATCTTGTGGCCTTGGGTCTTCCTCAGCAGTAACCTAGTGGAGCTGCGACTCTGCAAGGGAGAGCAACAAGCAGCTGGACTCAGAAGTCCATCCGAGCTCCGCCATACGGGCACAGAGTGCACTAAAATCCCGACCATTGTGAAAGCCAAGAATCCTTCTCGCTCAACTCCACCAGGGGTCACATAATTCACCAGCACGAGAATCAAAATGCATCTCCACACGCCTCCTGAACACGCACTTCTAGCAAAATAGAACCTCTCACGTAGCCATCACAATTCTCGCCACACGGCGGCCACGACATGAAGCGTCTCATCCCCTACCGCAGCCATAAGCCCTCCGGCAATCCTCATACCCTCAAGACTCGACCACATCCCGCCATGCTCCTCTTATCGCACATTCTCCGTGTTAAAAAAACGTCCGAACAATTCAGATAAGTTCGATTCACGACGATTCTCGCTTCCCCTCTCTCTCTCTCTCTCTCTCTCTCTCTTTCTTTCTTGCTCGATGCTGACATCAACCACACCTTCTGCTTCCCGGTCCTCTGCCCGTGCGCGTCATGTCCAACCTCGACTCCTGCTCCTCTCTCAGAAGAACATGGCGATTATTTACTCCGCGCAAATCAGCTCCGCTACCACACTCGGTATCTACGCTTGCTCCTCGAATCGGGCATATGCGAATATTTCCGCCTCATTGCATCGATTTGTTGCATCGTGCGGCGCAGTAATGTGCTCGCTTCGTCGATCTGCAGAAAGCTCAAACCTGCACTCTGAACAATATCTTCCCTCCTTCATAATTCCTTTGCTTCTGGCCTTGTTTCGGATCGTCCCTCCTCATCTATTTACTATGGTTAGCTCGGCCTGTCTTAGAATAATTAAGTTGGCTGACCTCGATCCTGATTTGGAGCTTGATTATTTTTTCTTTCGTCGGGCGGGGGCTTACCTTAGCGTTGCTGGTCTTTCGCTGATCCTTCGCTCAGGCCTGACTGGGCTTGGGTTGGGTTGGGTTGGCTGGGCTTAGCCTTCGCTCGTCCACCGGTACGAACTTGTCTGTGCGGTTAGTGAGAGACGACCACTCCTTATCTGATGGAAATAATCGCGTTTCCTATAGTAGCCGAGGTCGGAAGATAAGACTATAAGAACCGCAGATTGTGTATCGGCGTCCTGGGGACGCTGGAATAAGATTTCGCACAGGAAAAGCAGCTCCTGGAACGACTGACTGCTCGAACGACCATGTACCGGAATGTGATCCCGTGATCGGCCCTGGGCACAAATATCACCAACTGCTGCTGCACAGTCCACACTCTCCGAGTCCTACACCTTCGTAGTAGCCACCCTAGCTGCCCTTCGGGTTGCCTGCGCTGACGTAACACCTTTACGAATGCAGTTTACGTAGACATTGCACTTTTAGAAAGTTCAGTAGGTGAATATATTTAAGCAAGTCTGGTGGGAATTGCAATTAAAAAGTAGAAATTGCACTTTTAGAAAGTTCAGTAAGTGAATATATTTAAGCAAGTCTGTTGGGAATTGCAATTAAAAAGGTTCAGTACGTAAATAACTCTAAACAAACCTGTGAATATAATTTTTTTTTAACTTGCAAATTTCAGTCACATGGGACTAACCAGGGCCATTCTGGTTGGCAAAACTATGTACATCTGGAAATAACTGAACTTGCAACAGGGCATGAACAAAGTTAAATGGCGAGTCGTAGTTGCAAAACTTACAAATTGCACTCGCCGCGTGTCCTTCTCCAGGAATAACATCTTGTTTGGCACTTATCAAGCTAACCATAAATTTTTAAGAGTGTCCACGTCACTTTTCCTCCACTTTCCTCATAAACTCTGATCGCATGTTACTTTGTAGGGGATGATGGTATGAACCAAGTAATGCGGCTAACAGGACACCCCATAGGTGACCAAAGCGTCTACCAAGGATCGCATATTGGATGTGACCGAGAAGGAACCGTATGGGGTCTGCTTCAAGTAGTTTCCTGATCAAACCAAATGGGTAGCATGTACTTACGTTCCAAATTGTGACGATAAATATGTATATCTCCAATTAAAATATGTATTTGTCGAATAGATTATATTATTCGTCAACGTACATGTAAGGGCTTAGGGAACCTTAATGCAACGTGCATTCATTTCCAACAGCTAACATGTGTCACGGAAGAATCAATACCACATCCTACAATACGATATATTCGTTATTTACCATTTCTATCAGTTATTTCTTTTGCATTCTCTCCTAAATTTCAATGTTATATAACTTAAATGAAAGAATCACCAAATTTAAAGAAATTGGCTTATACCAACAATTTTTTTAAAAGTGAATGTCACTAATTGAGATAACCTCGTATGAGCTTTCATGAGTTAAAGAAATTGGCTTATAGCAACAATTTTTTTTAAGTGAATGTCACTAATGTGAGATAAACTCGTATGAGTTCATGAGTTATAAACATGAGCATTTTCATCCTACAACTGGGTGACATGCAAATTACTTTTTTCTTGTGAACTTAAATAAATTCTAAAATTCACACATTTGGGATATCATATAAAAACAATCAAGTAACTTTTCTTCAAGCAATTTTTATTTTTTATTTATGATTAAATGAAATTTTTTATATCAATAAAAATATTTTATATTAAAATTCTAAAATAACCCAATTAAAATTGATTTCATAATATCAGTTCATAAATTTTTATCATTAATATTGTTATGAAAAATTTTGAATTTATTCAAAACCTCAAAAATAATACAGTTAAAAATAATCTTATGTTTGGCAATCTAGCAAGGAAAGATTTTTTTTAGGAAATTTAACCAACTAAATCAAGTTTTATGCTTGTAAAAGTTTAAAAATTCAATAAAAAAAATACAAAACATGTTAAATTTTATGATTATTTCACATTCCCATATTTTGTACCTGACTTAATATAATTTCCAAGTCAAATTCTTCAAGCAAAATTATACATTGTACAATTCTTCCCTTAGTGTTTGGTTTGTTGAGAAAAAAAACAAGTAAGTAGTAGTAAACAAGTGAGTAGCTTGATGGTAAATTACAAACATAACAAGTAAGTAGTGTTCAAATTTGTTCAAAACAAAGATAATGTCTAGTACTTTTTGTTTCGTTATCGTGTAATTCATTTCTGTGGACGGGAGTTGTCTACTATCATAGTAGATGGGATGACTGTTTACTTCCTCATCCAATTGTATTAACATTGCATCCACTTCTTTTCCATATGCATATGTAAAAGCTAAGAACAATTTCTCTCAATTCGGAGTTAGTAAAATTGGTGCTAAAGCAGTACTTGCTATAATTCTTCAAAAGATTCAAACGTCTACGATGTTGTTTGCGAAGAAGGAGCATCATACTTCAAAAACCTAGTTAAAGTTCCACGACTCTAACTAGTACGACTCAATGAATCAGCGCTAATAACTTATAGTTTTGAATAAGTCTATAATTCCACGTTTGGTAGTAGCAAATGTTGCTCCTAACATAGCATCTATTTTTTCTAGATTGGTATCAATCTCATCATTGAAAAGTATGTGATCAACCAATCAACGACACAAATTTTTTTAAAAAAAATTGAGTGTAAATTTTGATTCATTCAAAAAACTTCTCTAATTTCTCAAAGTGAGAGGCCAAATTTCCGTAATTTCTAATATCATTCATTTTGTAAGATATTCTTACAAAATGTCTTAAGTAAAATTTCAAAACTGTATTCATTAGTCTTTTGGAAATAATTGAATCATTCTAGAGTCTAAATGACATTTTTTTCCATAACAAAAGATGTCTCATGATGATGTGAATATGATTTTCAATTGATCATTTATCGTATTTTTCATCTAATGACATTTAATATATGTATTCATGATTCCTCATCTACTCTAAAATCTTGTCACAAATGAATGATATATTGACACTTTTTGTAACATCATTGTCATGTGTAGATACATTGGTTTGGATTCGAGTCGATAGACGTTGGGACGCGAGTAATGCTGAGACGCGGGTAACATGTAGGTTGGATCAATGTTCCATTGGGAGTATAGTTGAGGCAATCTCAAAGAACTGTTAGTTTGTTGAGTTGAGACTTCCGCGTAGAATGTTTTGTTAGTTACCGCTAGCTTGGACTCTACGTCTCTGATTGTAGTGAGATTGTTTGGCTCGACTATTCTACGGATTTTGTGTTACCAATGAGGTTGGTACATCATATTTTCACTCAAAGAATTGACAATTGAGGTTACTGTGAGTTATCATATGGTTAACCTATTTCATCTCTTATCATTTTGGTGACAAATATTATGTTTATGATAATGTTTATTTGTATATCCTTATAGCACTATGACTCTACTACTGTTATTCCATCAGGTTGTGATTCTTATGCGATATAATATGTTGTTTTGCTAGAGCTTGAGCCGATGAAAATTGAAACAAATTTCAGTGAAAATTTTGAAGTATTGTACACGGGTTCTAACGATGCTAGCTGGCTCCAAGTTCCATCACTAGAGTTAAGTCTTTGTTGTGATACCTTTGTGTGTGTACACTCTTGTTCCTTATGTATGTATAAGATGTATGACAACACCGAGTCGCACGACATCATTGAATTTCTAGTAGTTCACACAAATACTCAACTTTACAATCTTCTTTAAAATCAACGTGATGAAAAGTAGTCATTTGGTATTCTCCTTAATTGAATGAACATCTAATAATTTGTCCAATCCTACTTTCATCACTTTGTCATATTTAAAATTTATAAATAAGATTTTTGCCTAACTGCCTTTGTATTTTGTACAAGTTCAATCCTGTGTGTATGCAAGAAAAATTTTTGCACATCCTTGTAATTGAAGTCAAAAAAGATGAATAAACTTACGCAACAAGTAAAAAAAACATTTCAAAATACACCTTTTCTCAAATTTTTATGAAATGATGAAGACATTGCCACAAGTTTTCAAATGACAATACCCGCTTTTTTACCTCCCAAATAATCCAAAGTTGAGTATAAATTGTGATTTTTGAATATTGAAAAATCCTTAAAACCAAATCATCTTCATCAAGATTTTTTAAATCCTTTATGTCTTTCCATCTCCTTCACACGTTTGGCGGTTGAGCTTCTTCTTGTCTTTGTTTTGTTGCCATTACATTGACCTAATTGCGCAAAGATTGTTGAAAATCATCTTCTACTCAATGTCATCTTGAATCTCTAACGGATTCACTTGACACTTTTCTTTGTCATCTGCAAAAAAAACTCATCTTGATGAAAAACCTTCCTATGCATCACAATTTGAAAAATCTTTGAAAATGTGGCCCATTTTTTTGCAAGTGTAATATTGTATCTTGTTTGAATATTGTCCTTATTGCAAAAAATGTGCAATTGAAAGGAAAAAAAAAGTTAAATTGTGTCATTTGCAACACAATTTATTCCATAGCAACAACCATTCTTGAAAGAGTGTTGGATGGATGAGATGTACTTTTCAATGCTAGAATTTGAATTGAGTTATGATGAACATTTGCAATATCTTTCTGTGCCATTTTAACTTTAAACTTTAAAGTTTAAACTGATCTACCTCCTTTCGGCAATTCGGATGACTTGTTCTAAAAAATATCCACACCCTCATACCTTACTTGTTGAAATAATTTGAGCATCAATTTTGATCACAATATATTTTACCACAAGTGTATTTATTTCCTAAAAGAAGTTTTTTAACACTATATCTTTGTGCACACAAGCTTCAAATGATACAATCAGACAAATTTTGTATTCTATTATTATAATACTTCAATTTTTTCACCAACCTTGTTTAACTTGGCTAAGCTCACAAATAAATATCTTATAAGAATAAATTTTTTCAAACTTAGTAATCAATATTACACTCAAATGTTACTTAAAAAACTTGGTAATAACAAACAGTCTCTCGTACAATTAAGACGACATGCATTCAAAAAAAATTTGGCAAAAATGAAACCCAATTATTAAAGGTTTTACTCCATGTTCCTATACATGAATTTTTGTTACGCTCTTTTATTATTTTTATTTTAAAAAATGCCATGAATCTTAGTTTTTCATCCCGGTGAATATTGAAATTGTCATTTTTTCCTTCTATATAAAA